AAAAATGTCACATTTTTAAATATGGTGTGCCAAGTTCACACAAGTCAGGATCGATCGATCTATATCGAGAAGACTATACGATTTCGCTTGGAAAATCAAAGCCGATCTTGAAATCTTTGAAATGACCCACAAATAAAAACGCATTTTGTGTAACTGATCGCGTGCAATAAACATCTGAGTGATTTTGTTATTGCAAAGTGGTCGAGCGAACATTTACGATGAAATTATTTCGAAATCGCGATATTTTGCTCAATTGCATTCAAGAAATAAGCTTTTAATCGTATTGAGAATCTCAAGCACCGAATAAACCAGAAAGCTTGGCAGTCGCGTATGATGAATAACAGAGTTGTTTTGTCACTGCAAAGTTGTGTGAACATTGTCGATTGTTTTAAAATTACGACATTTTTTTCAGAATTGTGATATATTAATCAGTTGCATCTAAAAAAAAAACATGCTTTTTCTCCAATCACATAAAGAATGTCAAGCCAGTGCAAAGTGTTCAGTTTCTAGCTTATTGCTTGAGGTTCTCTATACGATTAGAGGAAAAGCTTTCTCTTTTTAAGTACAATCGTAGAGTCGTAAGTCGTAGAAATCGATCAATCCCTGTCGATTTTTCTTCTTATGCTCGATCGCGATTGGTCAATTTCTACGACTTCTATTGTAGACTCCACTTAACGTTGCCGTACGATAATGGAGCAAGTGTTGACGCGACTCGACTTTCTTTCTTCAGAATGTTGCGATTTTAAAGTAATTTCTTCGAAAATTGTCACACAACTTTGCAATGACCAAACCACTCTGGTGTTCGTCATTATACGCGACTACCAAAGTTTCTGATTTATTGCTTGACATTCTCTACATGATTAAAGAAAAAGCTAGTTTCTTTGTAAACGCAACTGACGAGTAAATCAGAAATCTTGGCAGTAGACCAAGTCGCAGACCGGGAAATTTTGCGTATTCGCGACTGGACGTCGCCGCTCGTTGCCCGTGACATCCGATGGTCGGACGTCGTTCCCAGAGCGAGAACGCACCGGCCGGAAGAGTCATTTGCATAGTTACTTCCGCGATGCCGTTATTACAGCGTCGTCATAAGTAGTCGCGTCGCGTATCCAGCCGCGTTCGACGACATTCATTCTTTCTTTCTCAGCCGGGATTCCCGCCGTTACCGCTTTTCTCCCGGATTCGGCTTCGCCCGGGATCCGCCGAGGGTAATCAGCCGGTTGATGGAATCGAACAGGAAGAAAGTAATAATACAAGACGCGGAGAGCAGATGTGGAGGAAAATGCTCTCTCCATGAGAGATTGCGGCGGACGCCTCCTGATTTAGCTGACACAATTTTTCTCAGACGATCGTCGCGACGCCCTCGTTCCCCTCGTTCTTCTTCTCGCCGCTTCTCTTTTGGCCTGTCGCATGAAGAGGCACGTTGAGAAAGTGAAAGAGAGAGAATGGTTCGAATGTCACTCTGCTTTATTTTCATTTATATATAGACGCGGGAGAGTTCAGCCGGTGTCACTTACCCCTGAATACCGGCGGCGCCCGTCCGATGATTTTCAGAAGGTGGAGTGGAATTCCTCATCGGCGGGAAATCTTCTCGCGTCGAGTCCGCAACTCTCGCTCCCACGGGACACGGATCACAGAAGTGTTGTACTTGGCGGTCTTTCATACTTTTTTATCTTTTCTGTTTTCCTTTGCTGCGGAAAAATTGCGTGCGATAACCCGTTTGCGAGCGCGCAAATGCATTCCCTACGTTTTCTTCTCGGATGGGCATGACGGAAGACCATTCGTTCCGCCGTCGTCTAGCCGCGACACACAGTGGCTCTCTATTTTAGGCTGGTCTCTCCCCACGTTTTACCGTTCATTTCGTAACTTAATATACCTCGCGTGCTCTCGACCGCGACGTTTAGCTGAGGATTTCCATATTCTTGCGATTCGCGTGACAACGCGATGCACTAGTGATGGAATTATTCATTCAAAGACGCTGGGCTTCTAGAAGCGGGATCTACAATAGAAATCGTAGAGTCGTAAGTCGTAGAAATCGACCAATCGCG